ACCATCCGATAAAATGAAACGAGATTAACATCGGGAGCGGGAGAATATATTCCGTTACAATTCGACGAATCAAATTTATAGATATAAAAAAATTGAGAGGCGAAAAGGAAATATTTAATTACTCGAGCTTTATATATATTACATTCTCAACGTTAAAAGCACGAGGGAAGGAGGGGGGAAAAAAAAACTTCATTTCCTCGTTTCTCGCCTCAAGAACCCGGAGGATCGAACTTTAAAAAGATCTCTTGAACGGACACGGAAGAAAAGGAAAAAGAAAGAAAGAAGAAAAAAAAAGAAAAAATGTTAGAAAACGAATATTTGAACGATGTGACGATGTGTTAGTGTGATTTTCAAGCGTGACCCCTCACCTCGTTTCTATATGTGTGTGTGTGTGTGTGTGTGTGTGTGTGTGTGCACTTGTTGTATCGTGTGACAAAACGTTTGTAAAACCCTCTTAGATAGATAGCGATAAAGCGAATACAAATACAAATATCAACGACAAAGACGCAGCATGAACCTATTTTCTGTTACCAATCCAATCCAATCCAAAAAAAAAAAACTGGTTCTTTCCGAACCATGGTGCGCGGTGTTTTTCGTTTCATTCGTCTCATTTTTTTCTCATTTCTTTGGCAGTCGTGTTTGTCAGCGTGTGATCATCGTTAATGTAGCACAGCATCTTTGAGAAGCGAAAGAGAAATCTCATTCATCGTTTTCGCCTTTCGTTCCCGGCAATTCTTGTTCTTCACGTACGACACCGTTTCCAATTTCGCTCTCCTCGAACGTAATCTCGCGTGAGGAGATCGCAGTCGGATTATTGACCACCATCTTTCTCTTCCTCTTACATCCGTTTCTTTTTTCCTTTTCTTTTTTTTTTTTTTCTTTTTTTTTCTCTTTCTTTATTCTATATCTGGAAGCTAATTATTATTCTTTCGAGCCAGTTTCGAAACTCGAACTCGTCGGTCGTCGATCCACGTACGTTACTCGTACGTTTAAATACGATATAATAATCCGAGAGATGCTCTAACTAAGGATGTCTCAAATGTCTAATCGTTATTCAGCTTTGTCTCGTACGATTGGCGCAAAAATATCTGACCGGCAAAAACCACTACGAGAACACACTACGCTCTCGAAAGAAAACGAAAAATTGAAAAAAACAAAAAAAAAAAAGAAAAAAGAGATCGCTCGAACGAAAAATATGATCAAATGTATGATCAAATATGATCAAAAATGATAAATCGAGGCGAAAAGGGAAGGAAATGTGAGGGTAGAGAGAGAAGAAAAAAAAAAAAAAAGTAAAAAGTAACGGATCATTTTCCAAAACAATACACGGTATAACCTACCGCAGATAAGCAATTGACGAAACATGCCCAAAAATTAATACGGCATTCACGTAATGTACAATACGTATGTATAAAATGTATATATATATATATATATCGACGATCTATACTTAATGCAAATCTCGCAACAAATTGTAAAAAAAGGAAAAAGGTCGGAGAGAACGCAAAAAATGATGCTTAGACGACGCGAATTTATTTGAAACTTATCAAAATTATCTTTTTTCTTTCTTTTTTTTTTTTCTTTTTCTTCTCTATTATCGACTAGTATCGAGATTAATTAACGACGTGTCGTCGTCACCTCTCGACGTCACCTCGTTGAAGAATTCGCACGATTCCGCGACGTGAATTCGAAAAAAACGTAGTAGTAGACGAAAACAATGTGAGGTTGAAAAAATTTTGAAAAAAGCCAATCCGGTGCATAAAAAACAGTTATCAAAGAGAGAGAAGAAAGAGAGAGAGAGAAAGAGAGAGAGAGAGAGAGAGAGAAAGAACGCAAAGAAAATGAGAACAGGGGAGTAAACGGTGGAGAAGAGAACGGAAAATATGGGGAGTTCACGTTTCAACCGGAATGAAATCAATCGAAAAATAAGAAAAAAAATGTATTTACCAACGTCTGAGGGAAGCATCTATTTGTAAAACGCATGCCCAAAAAATATTTACGGCACACACACACTAATTGTATGATGTCTTCTATAATCCGGATTCCGCGATTAACTGAATAATCGCTAGAACGAATGTGACTTTTCCGCGAATATTCGCTTACCCCTTCGAGCGCGCCGTGTGCGCCTACCCGATCGCGTTAATCCGTCGCTTTCGATTCTTCCCCTCCATCCATTTTTTATCCCCCCCCCCCCGCGGTAAAATTTTCTTTCACCTCCGCTTGTGTCGCTTTCGCTCTATCTCTATAATCCGCACGATCTTCCCAACGACAGATGCGTTTCGTTGCGACTCGACGAGCAGCAAAATTCACTTTTCGCAAGTTCAAACGCGTTCGTTTCGTGTCTCCGCGTAAATAGATTTGTTACGTTTCCGCCGGAGACGGACGACGAATAAAGTTATTTCTTACCGATTGATACTTTTTGATAAAGTAATTAAAAAAATTCGTTGTTTCGTTGATTGATTTTCTTTTTAAAAAAAAAAAAAAAAAAAAAAAAGGAAAAAAAAAGATTCAAAGAGAAGAAAACTCGTATGACGCGCGTATCATCGTTTGTAACGAGAAAATAATACAGGTGTTGGGACGCACGATCAAATGATAGAGAAAATTGGTATCCGTATATAGACCGTATATGGGTCATATAGTAACAAAGCATCGTGCATCCATCTGTTGCCCGTACCGCAAACGTATCAGAGAAGAAATTGGCACGCGTTTGACATTCGAGCGATCGCGTGACGTTGTACGCGAGTGCTCTTTTACTGCACAGGCAGCACGTGGTCACGGCATCTGGTTCAAATGCATACGCAATTAACCTATCTGGTTCGTGCCGGAAGTCCATCTGTTTCGGGGACGTTCCGCTTCAAAACCATACTCCCCCCAATTTGGAATACCCCAATTTTCATTATCGATACATTTCCGTACAAAATTGTGTCCACGAGGGG